GGGGTCATTGGCGTCGTTGGGGTTGCAGGGGTGATGGGAGTCATGGGTGTACCTGGTGTCAAAGGGGTGGAAGGAGTCAGTGGTGTCAGGGTGATTGGCGGAGGATTCAGAGACAGTTGCGAGGTCTCCTGCTCCAGTAGCTGCTTGATTTCTTGAAGCTTCTTATCCCTCTCATACTGTGAGAGAGCTGGTGCTGCCGGTGGCGGCGGTGGTGTCTGGGGAGTGATGGGGGCAAGTCCTGGTGTCTGTGCCATGTATGGGGGGGCACTGAAGGCTGGCACTGGCGGCGGCACTTTCACGATGGCTTTCTTTGTTGCAGGTCGGGTGCGGCGCTTCGCAATAGGCTGCGTTGCAAGGGCTTTGGCAACTGGCTGGCTCAGGACTTCCACCGACAATGTGTCTGGAACCGTCTCCAGGTACGGGTCAACAAGGACCTGGACACGGGGTTCATCATCGTCGTCCACCCTCTCCGGCCTTTTTCGAGGATCGCGTGCTGGCTCCTCGTTACTGGCTTTAGCAACGCCACTCACGCTGTTGCTAGCAGGTGCCTCCTCCTCCACAAGTTCCAGCTTGACAGATGTCGGAAGCCCTGGGAGCGAACGCTTTGGCCTGACACTCGACTTTGGCAGCTTCTCCTTCTTCTTCTTCTCCTTCTTCTTCTTCCTTTCTCATCTTTCTTCTTCTTCCTCTTCTATGTCATGTGCCACGCGCGCTGTTCCCGACAGGGGTTCGAAGCGCAGGGGTTACACACCATGGCACCTCCCTGACCGAATGTACAGTAACATACAACTCTTGGTTGTGGTCAAGCGCTGGCCCCCACATCTCAACTTCCTTGCCATAGAGAATCTGCGCGGCTTGCCATGTGTTCCCTTTGCACTCTGCAAGCTCCCTTTCCACTTGTGCCCTGGGGAGGGGGGGGGGTAAGAAAGCTTAGAAGCAGGGTGCATACTGGCACGTGCATTTTTTCATGAAGAGGCGGAGCGCGAACGGCCTCCGCATGCCCAAGAACGGCTTCCAACGTGCCAAAAAAACTGCCATCTGCCGTCCCAAACGGCCTCCACGGCACCTGAAACCGCACCCCAAACCCGCACCCAAACAGACCCCTTAGTACAGATCAGCAAAGCTGGACTCAGACGAAAGCTTGGCAAGCTTTCGTAAAAAAAAACTAGTGACTACACAATTTGCCCACATTTTTGGCATTCACTCCCTGCAAGTCGACTGTTGCAGATTGTCTCACAACATCATATAGCAATCTCCAACCTTGCAACCGCTTTAAAAATCTTCCTCAGGGGTTTTCCAAAGTATCTGTTTGGACAGGGTACACGATTTGCAGGAACTTCCAAAACGCAGGTGTGTGCACGGCTTCACCAAATCGAATTTCACTGGCCCCTCCTGGCAGTTCATCTAACTGCGTGAATGTTCGATGTGCCTGTCGGGATTTCCAACTTCCAGGGCTCCATTAATAGCCTTGGTATCAGGCTCGTTTGGTCGCAGGCCGAATTCCGGTACATGTCACCATCTATACTACTAGACGCCTTCCGGCTAACAGTTCCGTAGTCCATACTGGGCTTCGGAGGGATGCGGTTGCAAATCCCGGCTCTGCTTCCTCTTTCTTTTTAGCTGGCCGGCCGCTCGTCATGTTTAGCGATGTTTTTTTTGATGATGCTTCTGCTTGTTCAACTGCCTAGCCGCTATCCTTCGCCCAGAACCGCATCTATTCCCTGCATCCATTTAGCCAAATGATGTATGAAGTGCTCCCCTAGCTCTTGCAGCTTTCAGTCGTTGTTGTTGCGTTCTTTCTGAGCTCCCCTGCTGCTGTATTCTCTGCACCCTTTGGTATGCTGATACCTCCGCAGTTTCAAACGTGTTCGAAGAGGTGCCCTGGCGGAGTTGTAATGTGCCAGTGTGGTCGGGGGGAGGCTGCGAAGTGCTTCTGACCACTTGCCTCCGTCATCTTGCTGTATTCTTGATCTTCCTCAGCTAGGAGCATAGGAGTGTCAGGCCAATTGGGTAGGGATCACAAAAATCAGCTTCAACAAAAGTAGTCCTTCATCAAACCAAATTATATCCGCAAAAAAAATCAAGTCTCCGAAACTACTGGGACCAGCATCACTGGGTACAATTCGGGAGATCAAAAAAAATTAAGGCGCTGCGCCCAGTGGCGGGCAACGCAGGCAGCATGCAAAGAGAGCCGTGGAGCGGTCAGCGGTTCAGTGCTCAACCTATGACATTAGCCGGGGTGAGTCGCGTGCGTGCCCTTCCCCCCCAATTGGTTTTGTCTCTCAGCCCATACTTGCGCTCCCATTTTGAAGACCAACAACCAACCTGGATTGGCCTGAAAACACCTAAATATTAAACATCAAATTTACCATAAAAGCTGCCAAAAAAACATCAACAAACTGCAAAAACCACCAAGCTGTGAGGCAAAACCTATGAAACCATGCCAACAGCCATCATAAAACACACACAAACAGAATGGCCTCCGTGAAGCCGGCATCCCTTCAAATTGGTGAATCAAGCCCCAATTATGTGGATGATGCTGGAAAGGGCAAGGGGGGGCATTTCTGCTTTGGGCACCCCTGCAAGGTTCTTGCTTGGCTCGGCGATTCCTCCTCTTTCCCAGCTCTGCTGGTCATGGCAAATGCAACAAGGTTTCTCTAAACTCTTCTAACTCATATTTCTCACTCTCTCGAGCCAAAATGGCTTGAGCTAAAATAGCTACGGTCTCTGACTTTCTTCTTCTGCCTCCTCCTCCTCTTTCTCTTCTTCGTCCTCTCCCAAGCTCGTCCGCATGACAAAGCTACGCCTGCAAAACCGCGTGCTTGTAGCGGTAGTACAAGTAAAAGAAGACCTCTAAGCCCAGCAGGAATGAGAACGACTCCTGTCAGTCAGCATGCAAGGCTCCCATTTGAGTGCGGCTTTTGACGGCCTGCAAGCCCCAAAGCAAGGCAGCGCGCAGGATTGCCACGGCGCCCTGAGGCTGGGCCTCCAAAGCTTGTCCAAATCGCTGGTGCTGCGTACAGACACGAACAAAAAGCATTCCGAACCCACCCTTTGCAAGGAACGTCCCGACAGACTGCGCATGAATCGCCATGCCTGGCAAGACCAGACTCTCTGCCCCCTTCTGTACGGCACCGAGCCCATCAGAACAAGCTGGCTGGGCCCAGTAAAGATACGCGAGGGGGCAAACAGCCTAGCACGGCTTGTTTGCATCTCAAGACGCATGCTCGCTTCGTACCTTCAGTGGCCAGATGAGGAAGAACTTAACCAGGCTCATCTGCACCTCACATAAAACGTAGCCAAATCTGCACAAGTGACCTTTGCAACGAGGGGAAGGCGCGGCAGAGGGCAGTCCCCTCACTGGCCCACATCGTGTTGATGACATGGCCTTCGCAGCCAGGCGCGTCATCTCAGGCTGCAACTGCTGACCGCTGCAAAGCTACACTGTTGTGGTGGCTTGGAGAACGACAGCTGGTTCAATTCGTACGTTGTCAAATGACTCCATAATCAATCCTCAAGTTGCTTGCTTCAAGTCTGAGGCAGAACCATGCACAAATAATCAAAACCTTGTGGCACAGATCCCCAACATAACGCTGCAGACCATGAGATTCGCACCGCGCTGACCGTCAAAGCCCTCAACCATTCTGAAAGAAACCCCGAAAAGTGCTTGAGGAAGCGAGCTGTCCACCGTGGTGGGCGACTATGCCAAGTTGCGAGGCCTGTTTGGATTGAGCGGAGCAGGGAGAACAAACGAGATGTCCTGGCCCCAACGACAGCTCCACCAGTACACACTCAATGCTGTCGACTTGCAGGCAGACCCATGGAGGCACTTCCAGAACTTCCAGCCCAATCCTCTTCGCAGGCTCGGATCGCCCATCAGGACTGCACTGTCTACGCATACCCACTACAATACACGTTCCAGTATCCAACTAGTGTGCTTCTTACATTGCTGAAGAAGCTGAACCTCCTCTCAGCTCATAGGCATAGTGACCTTTGATGTACTTCTCTGCTGTTCTTCATGCGCCTATTGCGGCTACTACACGTCCAACATGGTGGCTGGAACTCCGCATATCGGTGAGCCTCCGAAGCGCAGGTTACTACAGGGCAGCACTGGCTGGCAAGTGCCAAGAAAGCAGAAAGCCCAGGCTAGAGTGAGTAGCATAAACTGTCGTTGCCTTGGGATGGGTCTAGGAGTCTAGGAATCTCACTGAAAAAAATCAAGCTCTGTACAGGCTGTTCACCTGCCATAGCCAATCTTCTGGGCGGGAAGAGTTCCCCCCAGCCTGCAGCACCACCCTTGCCAAAGTATCCCTCGGAGCGTTCGAGATCAACAGGGCCACTTGACCAGTGGAAGGGCTCTTCGAGAGGCTCTACCTGGAAAATGCCTGGTACGGTGCTGCCATCCTTACGCCCCTCTGCAAAAAAAGTTGCATGCGGTAGCGTCAGCCCTGCTTGTTCCAAAATGTTGTTCATATCATTCTTGGTGAGGAAGAAGAATTCAGCAACCACCAGCCCGACCCGTCAAGACATGCCAGCACCAGCCTCCATTTTACCAAAGCTACAACGATGAGCAACGTGTGAGCCAGAGCTACCAACTCCGGCACCACCGAAGGACACAGGAAAGCATCCCGCTACCCACGTGGCTCCTTGCAGGGCTAGTGTAAGGCCCGGAAAGCTTGGCTTTGCAATGATTTGCATACACCTGCCCTGCGAGCCTATCGCTGTCGCAGCAGACAGCCCACATTCTACATAATTCCGTGCGGGCTCCGTCACATACTTATGTCAGTTATGTCACAAGTCATGTCTAACAGCAGCATACAGCAGCCCCAAATCCTCAAGTTTGTGGAGCGTCCATCATGTCAACTCGGCGTTTGGACAAAGCTCTTGAAGGGTCTAATATGTTCAGCTCAGAAAATCTTGGCCACACTAACCTACACACGGGCTGGGTGCCCGGGACCCGAAAACTTGCACAGCATCACTGCACAAAGCTTTTTTGCACGTCAACATCGGTCAGGCCAAGCCCGGCAATCATAGCAAGGCAGGGCACGACGAGGCACGGCACCTCCACGTCCTGGTGCCCTGGCCTTTGATGGGCTGATGTTTTGCAGGCGACGAACTGTACAGGGTGAACCACACCTCAGATCGCATGCGACTCCGGTTTGGGCACCTGAACTGATTTGGTCAGACAAACCGTCAAAACGCACAAAGCGGAAGCAAGCCCACGGCACCAAAATGATGCCAGCTGAGGCCTCGCTGATGAGGGCATCATCGTAGGAGAGATCAGAATGTATCAATCCTCGAACTTGAGAAGTATATTCATGAAAAGATTGCTTACATACCCATGAGGCCTCCAAGACATAGTGAGGTGAAGGGCGCGTCTCATGCGAGCTGGAGCGCAGCCTACCGCAGAGGAAAAATGTACGGGAGCGCCCACTGGTCATAGAAGCGACCCAAGCATGAGAACTAGCCAAATGCGTCGCTTGCCTTCGCTTTTTTCGGCGGCGCTTTGGCACTGTGCTGGATGAGCTTGAAGATGAACTGCAAGAGATCTCCTCCCTGGGCACGTTCTCAGGCTAGAAGGCGAAGAAGGCAAAGTTAAGGGACCAAGCTCTGGTCTCTGGTCAGCCAAGAAGCCGATCGTAGCGCGTGTACGACGGCGATCGTCTCGCTTCTCGAAAAGGTCGATTGAACTCCTTGGCACACAGGTCATATACATAGTCAGACCAGAACTGCGAGCTTGCTTCCGAATGCCTCGGGATACATCCAGCGTGCTGGGCTCAGGCTAGCAGAGCCCCTGCAGCTTGATGTATGCACAGCGTCTCGCTGAAGTGATACAGGAACCTTCTCTCCGTCTCAGCCATCTCGGGGGGGAGATATACCTCATTCTAAAAAGTTGACACCGTTGCCAGTTCCACTAGGCTCGCAAAGTCAAGACACTCCACCAGCACGACTTCGCCATGCACCCTTGCGGGTGGGCCACATAGTCCCGTTCGTGCCTCAAACAGCAATTCTTGTTTGTAGCATTCAAGCTTATAGCCTAGACTGGGAAGCCCGGCGCAAGCGGCAGGGAGATGGCGAACGACGCAAATAGGCCAAATGGTCCCACCTGAGTGAAGGGTGGAGCTCTAGCAATACAATCCACCATCTCTCAACCTACTCCAGGAATTGGGGCAGCCACTCTGGCTCATCAACTGCCACTTGGGACAAGCGATGCTCTTCATCCAACCGAAGCTTCCGAAGCATCTGGCGTGATACACGCAGCAGCGGCGCAAGAAAGCACAGAATGAGCCATGGTTTCTTTGAAAGCTGCAGGGCAACTTCATGCTCTGTCCGTGGCAGGCACGGCTAGCGATGAAGCAGCAGCTCACCCTTAATTTCGCCATTGAAAGATGTGTCATCCACTTCCATCATTTGCAGTGAATCAGCTTCAGCAACATTCATCGGTGAAGGCAGCGCCTTCGGTCAGATGTACAGCCCTTTCGGCCTGTTGAAGCTGTGCCCTCAGCAGGCTATGAGGCTAGGACTCTAAAAGGCATATGATGAGGCATGCTACGGGATAACTTTTTGTTGGTCGGGCATTCTGACCAGCGTATGCCGCGAGATGCTGCGAGATGCTGCGAGGGTTTTTTTGCTGCAAACCTCCAGGCTCACAGGAAGAGATCAGCCCCAGCGCGCCCGGGAGCTATGCAGCATTCCGAAAATAGCTGCAACATAAAGCAGCCTTCGTATTTCTAGCCGGTTGATATGCTGCGAACCCCAGCTGAACTACACTCGGACTGGAGAAAAGCACCTACAATAAATAGCGTGGCACCTCGTAGGCCCTCATGTCGTATGCCGCATTGAGCGGGTTCAGAGGATCATGAGGAACCGATGTCGGAATTGGTGTTGCTTTCGGATCACCTGCAGTTCTGAGCGGAATTCAGGCTACCGTCTTACAAGCCCATCAACAGCTCGAACAAGAGTCATCTGCCATTTTTGAAATAAACGCACGCCCTAACCTGCTCCTTCAGCACTTGCTTTCTCAAGTTCATCCAGATGCGCAACCAGCTGCTCGAGGCTGCGGAAAGGCGCTGGCCCTGGATTTGAAGGATTGCAACACCGTGGTTGAAATATCTGTTGCCTGCTGCTTCTGCTTCCGGGTGGTCATCAGGGCACTGGGTGGCATCTGCATCCTGATCCACTGCCACTGGGAGGAAATGCACTTTTCACAACACTTCGGGCTCCCTTGCCTTGTATGGCCTCTCGCGATTCACCGCCTCGATCAAGTTATCAATGGCGTCCTGAAGGCCTGGGGTTTTGCTTGGAAATATAAACAAGGTTGCAGGATCACGTGAAGGGTTCTGTGGCCTGGCTCAGATTGAAAAGCGGCCTCCAACTCCTGAACAAGTTCACACGCTGAGCCACAGGAAAAAAAAAAAGAGCCAGGCAATCGCACACCATACGGCCCTACTGCGCCATAGGCCTCCTGCTCAACTCGGAAGCGCTCACGCTCCTGCATGGGAGTGTCATGGAGTGTCTTCACATTGGATCGACATCAGCATAGCCGTCTCCAGCGGTCCCTGGGACCCGAGGCACTACATGGTTGCTGTCGGCCAAACACCAAGTTGCTGCAAGGCAACTGTTTAAATGACTTTCTGAAATTCATGGTTCGCTAACCCATTGAACTTATGACCTGTGATCCCACCCGAGAATGGCCGCTTGCATGGCCCCGCAGATTGTTGGCTTCATGCCGCTAGCTCGAATCTTTCTCTCACTTTAGACAGATTAAACATGCAGTTCAAGCAGTTACATAGCGGTCAGGGGCTCTGTCACACAAGCTGAAGTGAGCCCTCAGGCAGCTCCGTAAGGAACCAATCAGCAAGAAATTCTGCAAATTGGCGTCTCAGTCTCTTCACATCCCTCATTGCTTAACAGATCCTTGGCATTGCCAGAACAAAAATTGTCAAATACTGCGTATGCTGCTCTGTGCAAGCGCTAGCTAGGATACATTCAATTCCCGCGTGCAGCTTTTCGAGCGATCGACAAATGAGGAATGCTGGAAAACTATGGAAATGGTGGAAAATGGTGAAGAGCGAAGGAAATGATGAAAAACAGGTCAAGCCAGGAACCCACAAACAATCTGGAGCACAGTCAAGACCCAATGGGTTGCAGCTGGAGGCTGAGAACTTCAAACCTACGGCAGGAGGACCCCCGCAGCCCGCCCACCTTATCCCTACGGCGATACCCCCTCCGCGCCCCATTGTCCCACCGCAGAATCCTCGCGCGCCCTCTTACTGACTCTTACTGCGTCGACCTGCGCACCCCCCCGCGACCCCCCTCCGAACCCCCTCCGTTGCCCAATCCGCGCGCACTCCCGCCTCGCACCTCTCCGCGCGTAAGACGTTTCTCCGGAAGACCCGCAGCATGACGAGCGTCAGCCGGTGCTCCCTCCAAAAATGGCGTACCCCGTCCGGGAGAGCATTTTGGACACTGCTTGGCAGGAAGGGTTTAAGAAAGTGTAGAATTTGTTTTTTGCACTTGTGTTTGAATTTGTGATTTTTTTGTGGGGGGCGGAATCGAAGGACGCCTCACACGAGAGCGCGATTCTGAGGCAAAAACTGCGAGGACTGATGAAAAGTCACGAAAAATCATGAAATTAGGAAAAATGATGAAACTGATACAAAGATGAAGAAAAGAAAGAAAATGATGAGAGTGATGAAATGATAGAAAATGATAGAAAATTACAAAAAATTAAGAAAATGATGAAAATGAAAGAAAAGGATAGAAAAGGATGAAAAGGATAGAAGATGAAAGAAAATGATAGAAAATGAAAGAAAATGAAAGAAAATGATAGAAAATGACAGAAAATGATAGAAAATGACAGAAAATGATAGAAAATGATAGAAAACGATAGAAAATGATAGAATATTATGACGAAAAATGATGAAACATGATAGAAAATGATGAACAAGTATGAAAATGCTGCGAAATCATGAAACGTGAAGAAAGTGACTAAAAATCATGAGAATTGATGAATAATGATGACTAATGATGAAACATAATGAGCAATAATGAAATTGATAGAAAATGATGAAGAAAAGTTATAAAACATTATGAAACTAATGACACTATTGAAAAACATGACAATGATGAAAAAGGATGAGGATGAAAATGATGGAAAAAACGATGAACACGATAAAAAGTATGAAGCCTGACGTTAGAAAATGATGGGAAATTAAGAAAACCATGAGAACATGAAGCATGGATGGCATTCCCCCCCCGCGATTTGCAAACGACATGATCCGAATAACTACAAAAAGCTTGGGTGGCCTCACCAAAAGCAGGGGGCAGGGAGTGGATCAAGGGAAAGTACGGAGATGATTTAAAACGATGACGCTGGCAGGCATGGATGGCCGTAACAAAGGCGGGGGGGTTGGGGGTGGGGGCAGCGCCCCCCCATTTGCAAACAAAATGATCTGCATAACCCTCCCTTGCTGAAAAGCCAAGGAGCCAAAAACCCACGAAGCCAAACACCCCAAGCAGCCAAAAACCCAAGAAGCAAAAACCTTAGCAGCCAACAGAAAGAAGGCAGAAGTCAAGTAACAAGGAAGGATCATATCATCACCATGTTCGGAGTAAGGAAGGGTCATGCAGATAGTTTTGTTCGCAAATGGGGGAGAGCTGCGCGCCCCCCAACCGCACCATTGTTGTGAAAGGTCATCCATGCTTGCCTTTCGTCATCGTTGTAGATCATTTCATCTTTTCTTGAATTTTCATGCTTTTGGACAATCTTCAAAGTTTCCTCATCATTGTTCATCACATCACGTTTCATGATTTTCTATCATCCTTCAGCAGTTTCCATGATTCTCATCATTTTCATGAGTTTTCACCAGTTGCCACATTTTTCATCATTTTCATGACTCTACACTAATTGTGATCATTTCCATCATATTTCCCCATGTTAACCAGATTTCACCTGTTTCCATCCTTCCTCAGCATACTCATCATTCGTCATCATTCTCATCACTTTCCATTATTCCCAAAAACATCTCGGATGTTATCATTTTCATTTAATTTTCATCACTTTTCTATCATTTTCATATAATTTTCATCATTTTCTAAACATTTTCTTCATGTTTAGACTATTTTCATGTAATCTTTCATCAGTCTCTTCATAATCATCCATCGTTTTCATCACTTACCCCCCCCCACTTGCAAACTTTGCAAACTACATAATCCGCATACCCCTCGCTTACTGCAAACATACTCATGATGCTTTTAATGGCTAGCACGGATGGCCTTAAGAGAGCGCAGACCAGCGTTCATATCTTCCGTAGCCTTTCAAGACTTGCAAATGTTGTAACACACGGTACTTGTAGCCTTGCAAGAACTACACACGCTGTAATTTGCAGCATCCGTAGCCATGGAAGAATTCCAAAATCCGTAATTTGCAGTTTTCGTAGCATGTCATTTCAAGAGCGGCAAATATTGCAATTTGCAATATTATAGTAGCCTTTCAGGGGTCCCATATGCTGTTACACACAGTATTCGTAGCCTCGCAGGAACTCCGTGTGCTGTAATTTGTAACAAGTGACAATATTCGTAGCCTTCTAAGACCCGCAGACGTTGTAGTTTGCAATATTCATAGCCTTTCAAGAGCCGCAGATGTTGTGATTTGCAATATTCGTAGCCTTTCAAGAGCCGCACATGTTGTGATTTGCAAAAATCGTAGCCTTTCAAGAGCCGCAAATGCTGTAAACTGCAGTATGTAAGCCTTACGACCACCACCACCACAAACCACCACCACCACGACTGCTCGAAAACAACTACTCGCTACGGTTGCCCTCATCCTCCTGCTGCTGCTACAAATTCTGCCGCTTTGACCATTTCCTGTCTTATCGTAGTTTTGATAGCAACTACCGAGACTACCAGACTGCCAAGCCCTCCCCCCAAAAAGACGACACTTTGTGCGTGACGGCTACGAGTACTTCTTTGCGTCTACACCATGAGATTCAAAATTAGTCGACGAAGAATATCTGGCTTTGCTTTTGTTGTTTTGGGGTGAGACTTGTGAGGCCAAAGCCAAGAAGGCGAGGAGCTAAAAAGAGAGAAGAGTTGAGCGCACAACTGCCACTTTCAGTATGTGATGGGCGACAACCAGCGTTACTACTGCCTCCGCAGCACACGAATGAATGGAAGATAGTAGGGCTGCGGCAGACACACCTACTTGCACTTCTTTGCGGACCAGGGACTTGCAAGGAGAAGGCTTCCTGCAAGGCGAGTTGTGGGCCAGCTCCAAGTGGCATGACCTCCTTCTGGTTTCATCAACTACTAGCAGCGCTAACCATCCAGATGTCTTATAAACGTCTACGCGGCTTGAGTCATACCCATCTCAACCACGTACTTGATCACCTTCGTTTGGCAGCGCCTATGCTGAACTGAATTTGCCTACTTACTTTCTGCACAGCCTTTGTGGGAGGTGTATGTTGGAACCTCCGGCCGGCAGCTTGCCTCCCTGTCGCCAGCCTGAAAATGGCATAAGTGCGGCATGAGCCATGTCTTCAGCATGCAGTTTTCTTTCTGTACTCCACCGGTGGTGGTGCCCCTCATACTGGCTTCTGCAATTTCTTGTAGGTTTTGCTGATGAATGCCACACTTGCAAGAAATGCTTTACTAGCGCGCTCGTAGCCTTCTGGCACGGACATGCCGAACCTGAGAGTTTGTGTTCACACCATTCGTCCCATCTTATGAGTCTCATGGTTATGTCTAAGTGGAAGCGTCAGCAGGCAACAATCTTTGAAGCGCATGGCCGCGTCATACACCCAAAGAAAGGCGTGCAAAAGTTTTTACAGGAACGCCCTGTTGCCCCTCCTCCTCCTCCTCCCCCCTCATTTTGGTTCCGGAAGGTCGGAAGCGTTCGTGCTGACCCCTCTGCTGTCCATTGTGTGCTGGGTGCTTCCTCGGCAGCACGGGCAAGGTGGAGGGATTACAATTCCCATCGTTACAAAAAGGAAATTGCGCAGGGGGGAGCTGGCTTACGCTGAGGTCACGTAATGAGGTAACCCAAATTACCCCGATGAAACTTGATGTAATGCAAGAAAACCTCAAAAACTGGCAATGACCGAGCATGAGTTCCTACCGATTTTGAAATACTGGAAATTGAGTTTCGTGCAGCCACAAGCTCCTCGCGCTTGAGCCGGCGTTGCTCTCGACGCATTTCCTTTGCGATCTTCCTGATGGCTGGCACATGGCACATGGCAGAATTGAAGCACTACACGTCCTCCTCCTCTTGACCTCGAGCGCCTTGGCCTGACAGCACAAGGCCGCCCTCTCTGGAACGCCCATCCATAAAGTTTTCAATCCACTTGGGACCTCTAGCATTTCAGCTTCATCTGGAGTTGCTGCCTTACCTGTCAGACACTTTCTGGCAAGGCAAAGCATACAACGAATCAGCCAACAGACTACAAGTAATAAGCAAAGCCAGCTTCTGTTTTCTGGCCACCATGTCCAGCACGGCAAACAGCCAGCCTTAACCGAGCCCTGGCTCATGAGACCCTCCGCAGCAGCACCGCATAAGTGGGAAAGTCCCAAGCAAAAGAGCCAACAGCCTTAGAAGCATCTTCCACAAATAGGTTCGCCTCCTCGAGCGTTTCCAATTCCACATGTGAGGCATCCTCCGTCGGCCGGAAACAGTCGTGCCATTGCCATGGGCCCACCAAGTTGGCTCTGTTCCAGCCCAGGAAGGCCCTACCACCACGCCGGAGCTTTTGAACAAGTTGGTGTGCCACCTCACACTGCTCCTCGAAGCTGAGGTGCAATAGGGCGGCATAGGAAAAAACATAATCAAACAACTCATCCGGAAGCCAATGTAAGTTCCGACCATCTGCCATACAGCTCAAGCCGATACTGTACTTAGCAGCCCATGCCGCCGAAGCTGTGACATCGATGCCGATTGCATCCACATCGTAATAAGCTTTGGCCCAGGACATTGTAAAACCACAGCCAGATCCCCAGTCCAGCAGGAGTTCACCGGGCCGAAAATCGAACTTCTCCGCTATAACCACAAGAACGCACTTCAGAGCATCTTGCATGTTAGTGCCCCAAGCACCTGTCTGAGACTGACAACCTCCATCAGAAGATCGAGTCCTGTACTTCTTCATGCCGCCTTCATCCGGCCAAGAGGTCTCATCCTCCCACCCCCACCACGCGGAAGCATTCAACACTTCAGGACATTGCACCGCAAAAAAGTGCTCTCTGCGCTGGCTCAAGTCCGCATTTCTAGACTGACAAGGTGGCAAAAACGGACGACGCAGCTCAAACCCCACGGACCCGGGAGAAACACAGCTCTCATTGACGTAGTGCAGACATTTACCTCCGGCCAATCTACGGTCACTCCTCCCGAGTTCCTCAGTCGTCTGCGACCATGCAGCCGCTGAAGGTCTGCTCAGCCTGAGCTGGTTGGCCTGGACTGGCAGCAGCACATGCTGAAACAAATCTCCGCCTTGATTCCTTCGGCTGCGGCAAGCCTTGAGCAGCTGCAGGTCTGTCCTCCTAATGGCACAGTAAGATTCGGTGTGGTGTGCTCTGGGCATGAATCTGCGGGAGATATACATCCTTGCATCTGGCATGCTGCAGAGGCTTAAAGGTCCCGCAGCGTCAAGATGTGTATACAGTAACTGCTGTGAGGCCAGTAAGGGGAACGGAAACAAAGGCCGCCAGAAACGAATCCTCTCCCGCTCCAGTTGGGACATGGCTTTGTGCTCCCTGACAGATACCCAAGGGGGCAAACACTCGGGCAAGGCATGCCCCTCATGAATCAATCCGGCAGAAGAAAACTGCTTGTGCACAGTCGCAAGTGCTTGAAGACCTGACCAGCATGTCAAGGAGCAGTCCTGCAAGCGCTTCCACAGCTGCTTTACGGAAGCCAGGAGCTCTTGTGCAGGTGCACAAGTTGCCGCTAGCTCGCAGTAGCGACAAGTCAATTGCAAAAAGCTGTCCCAGCCCTCGGCCAGACAGTTGCTGCCAAGCTCAAGAGCATCACAAGCATTAGTCATTGTGCAGCTTGAGCAGCAGTGCGCAAAGAATGAGTTGCGTGCTTGCATGGCTAATGGCATATTACGTATTTGTGGTTCCTTCACCCTCCAGTCTTGAAGGATCATCTTTCTTACACGTGCAGATTACCCACCTAGCTTAACCAGGCTGTTCAGCCTGCACTTGAAATTGCGGGCTCTTCTTGCTTCAGATCTTGGTCGCCCTGATGCAGGAGGCCGTCTACAGTCTCACAGTGCTTGACCATCTGTGAACCTTGTGCTCCTTCTTGCTGTTCTTCTGCTTCTTCTCCTTCTTCTCCTTCTTCTCTTTCCTTTGCTTCTTCTCTTTCTTGACCTTCCGCAAGGAGCAGTGTTGAGCAAGGACAGCATGATACGGACAAGCAAAACGCCCAGGTCCTTCTTGTCCTTACTCGTCTGTGCATCCCCTGAATTCAAGCTCTCCTCTGAGCTGGACACATTTGACACAAGTGACTTTCAAACTCCCAATTCATGCTGGTCTCATACCCGTGCACGTCCTGAATGTGCACGACATCCTGGCGCTCGACCACGCTCCTGTGAGGAAATTTGTGTTGGCGAAGTAACGACAAGCAGGGAACTTGGAAGCAGCAAGCCTGGAGAACTGCCGCTCACCAGTTGGCAAAACACCTGGCAAGGAAAAGCAGCCTTGCGCTCAAGGCAATGATGCCATCCAAAAAAGTGGCAGCGGGGCCTTTGGTGTTGCTGCGCTTCTCGCCATTCGTTCTCCTGCCGAAGACTGTCCGTGTGTATTCGGAAGCCATCTTTTTCGCTGCATGCACTCGCACTACACATTTGCAGCGCAGCAAATCGTTTGAGCCGATGGCAGTTTGGATTCCAAGGACGAGAAAGCCAGCCGAAGTTCAAGGACCAACAATTAAGCTGACCGTAAACGGTTGTTCAAGGACCGAACCTCCTCACAGTTACTGGTGCTTGTGGCACGTCCTTGCAATTTGCTGCTGTACTTCTGGAAGCCTTCTGGCCCAGCTGGCAGCCTCGAGCTCGGCCTTGCAACATCCAAATGCATCTTGCCAAAGCACAGTGACCGCGGCCTCTGTGAAGCCAGCTCCTGTCCAAGGCCAAGGCAGCCGTTTAGTTCTGAATGCAATTCCCAAGTGCCTGCACCTGTCTTGGTTGCCCGCCTAGCTTCCTCAGAGGCAGTTGGGAATGTTGCAGTTGCTTGGCCATGCAAGCAAACGAAAGCAGCATCTTGTGGTAGCAACGGGGCCATTTCTTTCCCAGCAGCCGTACGCGCTGCTGCAATCTCCGCATGGCTTTTGATGAACCTTCCAGCAATACTTCCACATGCGTACACTTTCAACAAGCACGAGGCCAGGTTACCTGGACATAGCTCCAAAAGGCCGTAAAGATCATTATTCAAGCAAGAAGATTGCTTTGGCTGTTGCTTTGTGAAGCTGCTGCATGTCACAGCCGCAGGATTTCCATCTCATCCTGTATGATACAAATTCTTCACATGGCGTGCACCATCCTACTCAGCCAAAAACCTATGACAAGTGCTATTCCCATGTTTGCCTGCTTGATGGGTGTCGCAGCATGCAGGAGTGAACCAAATGTTCGGCAAATTCTCATGGCACACAAAGAAATGTACGAACATAGAAGGTCACATTTAACTTTGGACTTTGGATGCACACCGCTTCCAGGCTCCGACTATGCCGCCATCCTCTGGCATCTTCTGGCTGCGAAGTGAAACGCCACCACTCTGATTTCAAGCGCGCGCAGCGTCCTCTAGATGACAGCTTGGGACAGACTCTGTGGAACTCAAGCTGCCGCTAGCACGCATGTAGCACAACCCTCTCCTCTTCAGGTGGCATGGAATCTACGTTCGACTCGACAGCCTGCTGCTCACTGTCAGGGCACTGGGATTCTTCGCCATCCGCTGTATCTTTTTCGACCGCGTCTTCAGTCTCCTGGCCGCCCTTGCCAACATCAATTCCTGACATGTCCTTGTCAAGCTGCTGGGTACATCTCTTGTCAATGCCATCGACAGGATCCATGTGAACCTCATCTTGCAGGCTGGATGTTATTGCCTCCTCTGGCTGCTTCTCGGCTGTGCTGGCTGTTGGGCTATCCAGCGCACCGCTGCCCTGTTCGGCATTTCCACCAACCTGCAGGAAAAGATGAGCTTGCAGTGTCAACAGCTTCAGAAAAGACAAGAATGAAGGAACAGAAGCATAGGGAACATAGGGATCTTGCGGAATCTTTCGCAGGCCTGTGAGATTTCTGTTCTCTCCGCAACCTCCGCAACCTCCGCAACCTCCGCGGCCTCCGCGAGGGATTCCGAAAGGTGGCCCGGTGGCTCGGTCGACAGGGACTCTGCATGCACTGCTGGCTGCATCGCTGGATCGCTGGAAGAAGGCTCTGAAGCTCCCACAACCTCATCCGGCTGCGCGCCTCCAGTCTCACTAGTGTCTTCGGGCTGGTACAAAGGCACCTGACGCGGGTGGCATGCATCTGCAAAAAGTTCCCCCAAGCTGATCACTGTTTTGGGCAGCCAGCCTGAAGGCCCAGCAAGCTTCCAGCTAGGCTCTCCGCGGCTGCCGGAAGACCAAGCTCGGACAAGAATGCTTGATCTGGAGGAACGATGTACACCTCGCGGCACAAATAGCACAGGCATGCACAGGTCAAACCGCACAAATTGGCCAAGCAACGAAGAACTGAACACTGTGCATGTGTGTGGATGGATGTGGATGTGTGCGGATGTGTCGGGGGTGGAGGGAGGCCTTGCAGTGCTGAATTCCAAGTCTAAGTAAAGTGTCTGGCCTTACCCTTCACAAAGCAAGTAGCCTGAGGATCTCACCACGCTGCTTTGCAACTCTGCAAGCCCCACTCGCTTCCGAGAAATGAAGTAATTTCGGAGTGCAGCCCAGGCATCCTTTCGCAAGCATAATCCAGTCTCATTCAGTTTCGTACTTGCATTCCGCGCTGCAGCCTTCTCACGCAACTCTGACAATGCGAAGTGCCAAACCTCAAATGTTGACTTGGAATCTTGACGCTCGCAAATCAATCGTGCTACTTCGCTGGGCCATCGGATTTTCAGGAAGGGCTGACTTAGCAAAGCCCAACCCCCACAACCAGATGTCATGGGGACGACTCACTGCCGCCAGGACTCTGTGGTGAGGTCATCAGCCCATTGCAGGTGCTTGCGGCCTCAGTGCTTGTAGCACAACCTGCACCGCTTACATACATCTTAGCTCAATTGGGGCAGTCACAATGTTCCAGGCGCACTCGCTGATCAATGTCCAGCCTTTTCTATTCTTGCAGCTGTAACATCTTCACTCATAGCTTTCAATTCGATGAGTGCAAACTGGCAGGCTTTTGGAAAAGCCTGGTCAGAAAGATGGGGAGCTTTGGAAACCGTGGAAGCAGCCCTCTTCTGCCTAACAATCGCTAGTGCCTTCCTGGTGCAGGCTTGCACAGCATGCAACTGCCTACGTACTGGTGCTCCGTGCAGAAGCAGCAGCAGGAGCAACAACAACAAAGAAGACAAAGCACCACGCCTCCGACTCTCCGGGAGAGAGGTCTTGCTGCCACCCACGAAATGCGCAGCCACGTCGCAACACTTGGCTCCCAACCTTACTACGTACAGGCACATGCCCCATTGGGACTTTGCGTACCTGGTCCTCCAACTCACAAAATGACTTGTGCGCAACTGCATCAAATCTGATTTTCTATGGGTGGTGTGTGTTCTTATCCGTATTGATTGTGGTCCTTCCTTTTTTTGGTTCTTCCTTGCTTACCTTTGGGGAAGGCGCCTCGCGCGAGAGCTCAATTTCAAAGCAAAATGTGAGGCCGCTCAACGCCGGAGTTCGTTTTTCGGAGAGCTCGATTTCCCCAGCTTAGTAGCAATAGGAATTATAGCACGCAGACCAATATTAACAATAACATACCATAACATTAAATAGTAGGACGAATTTTTCGCGAATTCCGGTCGGTGGCAAAGGCGAGGCTGGCAGCCGTTCGCAGGCGCCTACAGTGGCCGGGCTCCGAGGCGACTGGCCAGGACGGAGAGTTTTCCAGGGGCATCGGCCCGCAGCTCCGGTACGTCAGGCACGGCTTCGCTGCATGGACTCCCCCTGTCAGTGAGAGCTCAAAATCATAATAATCTAGTATATCATGATCATAGCAGAACACCAAAAAACACGAAAAGTAGTCATACAGCTCTAATAGCAGTAATGTCGGTCACTTAAAAACGTGGGAGATTCGGGAAAAATGGCCCCGTCTAATTTGCAAACATGAGGCTCGTAGACCAGGTCTTAGAAGGATAGATATGGGTCTTGCAGCAATTCCAGCAGGGTTGCACCTTTAAAAAAGCAGCGGCTGGGGGGACCAGCAACCGCCCAATTTGCAAACCCAAGGCCGTGGCCGCCAAAGAAAGTGGAAACAAACAAGAAAAAAAAACAATGCGCCCTCCATGTTCCATCATGGTCTTCTTCAGCAGGGAAAAGGGAAATCTGAATTGTCACCAGGCTGTGGGAGTCTGTTCAAAAGTTTGCTGCGAAGGCACTTGTAGAGTTGCAGCTTGTGCTCCGCAACTGGTTGCACCTCCAAAAACACTGCAGTATCATTGAATCGACCACATGTAACGGTCCTGCTGCCTGTGAGCCTGCCGTGCTGGAAGCTGAGGAAGCTGGCATGTCGTCCGGATCCTACCACTGGGTTAGACCCGTTGCAGCGCAGCTGCGCAAGCTATTCCTCATGATGGACAAATTACATTTTTCAAAAGTACGTCGTTTCAGTAAATTTGCTGACCTTGCCTACAATCTCCTTGGGACGCCGTTGGAATGAAGAAACACTCTCGGAAAATGTCTCGCGTGTCCAATTGAAATGACTCAGCTCAGGGGAGATTGCTGTCTGGTTAATGGGGACTAACTTATCTAAACTTGGCATGCTTCCTCGATGACATCGTCATCAGGCTCCTGGCACGATAACACATTGTAGAGAACATGTAAAGAGGATGCATGAACAACTATCTGTGGCGCTCGTCAGAAAACAGAGCCCGGACGACTTCAGACTCTTCACCTTCCGTGTCAGAATCCGAATCCGATGCGGAAGACTGCGACCTACAAGACTGCAACGTACAACAAGGACATGGGCGAGGGACCAGCTGTTCTGAACAACTGGGATTCGAGCCTTGATGCTGATTCCATTCCAACCTCTCATCAAGCAAATCCAGAAACACCAACTGCCAAAATCAGCCTCATCCGCATCAAGGACTGGTGGACCTAGGCAACGTTGCACTTGTGAGGCGTGTGCATCAACACGCAATTTGAATCCCCATTCCATGGTCACAAAGGCCTATGGTAGTTTTCCCTAGCCCTGGCTTTTTTCCCAGAGGCCCCTAGGTCCCAGAGGACCCAAAAGTGCTTAGGAAAAAAGCCAGGGAGCACCTGGCTTTTTTCCGAGGGTCATAGGTCTGGTGGGCCACCCGCTCTGGTTACCCTGGTGCCGGGTGATTACCCCGGTGCTGGGCCGCTGCCTGTAACTCTACTAGAAATCTTTCATCAGAAGATTTACAGATATCGAAAAATCTATTTCTTGAAAGGACATCTACAATCAGATTCATATATTAGAAGAATAAATCTCGCATAGATTCGCATAGAATATAGGGGTGCAAAAATCAATTCTTGATAGAAAACATGTTTGATGTCTTTTTTTAATGCCTTTGTTCTGCCAGCATCATTCAGCATCGCCGCCCCGCCCCCCCACCCTCCGTGGTGACGTCCCAAGAAAGGCTACAACCCGCAATGGCCCGGCACCGGGGTAACATTCAGGACTGTGATCCTGGCTTTTTTCCTACGCCCATACCCCAACAACAGGATTTCCATGAAAATTTAGCCGGGTTTTTTTCCTTACCACTGGCTGAATTTTGACCTAATAGGTTAGGGAAAGAAGCCAAGACCATGGAAGGGTGATAATTTGATTAATTTGAGAACACTCTACCATTCTACAACGCCACACTCTGCGCACTCAGCCCAAGGCTGGGTTGGACCTTGGCCTGGCGCTTATGAGCCACAGCGCTGCTTGGAGGAGGCATGCTGTTTTCCTTGTCTGCCCAAGACTCACGAAGATTGACCGTGAGTGAACAGAAGTCCTCCCGTGGTGACACAAAGCCATCTTCGGCTTCTGCCTCGTGCCAAATGAGGCATCGGAAACTTTTCAACAACCAAGCAGCGTACCTCCTTCAACATCGTGAGATATGGATCTTCCTCAAAATGGTCACGGACTAAGTACGGATCGGATTCCTTAGATAGCCACAAACGCAAAAACCATGTGTGATTCTCCACAGATACTAAGCTTTGGCCCTCCCCATGTTCATCAACTGCAACCATGGGTCAATTTTGGTCCGAAGCCGTTTTTTTGGTCTCTGACCCTCAGACTTGCGGCTGCCTTGATCCAGCCATGCCCGCGCTAATCTCGCCACCTGGCATGGCCGGTGCAAAACTGCGAAAAGGGTACACTCACACGTGCCTCAAGGTGAGCGTCCATGGTTTGTGGACGACCACCCGGCAATCCAACTGGTGTTGTGACAGCTGCATTGGGTTGAGCATGCGCTGGGACGGAAGCCGGATGTGGAGCAGACATGCTACCAGCAGGTGCCACTGCCGGGGTGACAGGAGCCCCGATGATCATTGGCGGTGGTGGCGGCTGCGTGGTAGCTAGCAGCGGCGGTGATGTCATTGGCATGAAAGGCATTGCAGCTGGTGGCCTGGCAGATGTGCATGTCCGTACATTTCCCACTCTGGATTTGCAGTCAGGCAACTGTGGAAGTGAGATTGGTTCCACGGTCCGTGGGAGTCGCACAGCAAAGGCTGCAGGAATTCCCCGTGGTCTCACACCTAACACGCCAAACGAGCAACTCAAAGTCAAAGCCCGCGACGCTTTTGTGCATAAGGAAAGGCTGGGGCGAGACGGAGGCGCAGATGGTGCTGAGCTTTTCGGCGTCGTCCCAAGTCCGTCCGCCTGGCACAATCAGTTTCAAATCACTGCTGGAGTTTGTTTTTTTGCTGCAACTGTTTCTGAACTGTTCTTTTTGTGGCACTGCATGATTGCTGGATTGATACGTCGATTTGGCTATCGGTGTTCTTCACAAGTCCCCGTGGTGAAATCCAAGTGCTGTAAAATACAGCGTTGCCAATTTTCTGATTTGCGGATATTTGCGCGAACACACCGTATACATATCCACCCGCTGCAAACCGAACAAACTTAAACTGTGAAACGTTTTCTTTTCGAANNAAAAAAAAAAAAAAAAAAGCCTTCATGGTGCTTCCAAGCGGACATCAATCCTCTGCGCAAGATCCCTTGTGATGGATATCAACTGTGCGATGTCCCCAACACATGCTTTCGTGGGTACGACACTTGGGAAGAATGGGTTCTTTGATTCATTTCTATCGATCTCACGCCCTTCCTATGTATCGTCATGCTATCATCCGGTCAAGGTTTTCTGCGTAGTCATAGCAAATCTCTCTTCACGACCTACAACAACAGCGCGCATGCCTCAATAACTTTTTTGCATTTGAGGACTTGACTAGCGCCATACGAAAACATGAGAACGTCCAGTACCTATCTATGGCCGCGGCAAAACAGACCTGGGCATAAACAAGACAACTTCGGCTTCAGCAGAAGCAGCAAACCGCCGAACCACCCGTGTTTCTGATCGTCGACATTTGAAACAGAAATGGCGCTTGCCTTTGCTGGGAGGCCGGGGCACGCATTACAAAAAATGCAGTTCGCCTGATGAAAAGTATTAAAATCGCGCTTTGCAGCTTCAGAGTTTCAGAATTTAATCACAGCCGTTTTTGAAAACAGCGGCCTGCATTGAAATTGCGCTCAAGGGGTGCTGATCTGGCATGGCCAACACATGGGCCACCACGGTCAACCGTCAACGTTGTGATGGGGAGGCCCCGGATACGACGGCATTACGTGGTTTCAGAAGCGGCAAATCTCGCGCGCTTGCCGCACACAGACGTGCCCGGAATTCCGGTTTCGGGATGCGGCCCGCGCAAGCAGGGTCCCCTGGAGGAATGCAAGGACAGCGCGGGATGGCTTGCACAGAACATCACAAGCATCAAAGCCGGCAAGTGCATCACGCAAGCCACGGCGCGGGAGGAATCGCCCAATTTGCTAAGCCTGTCCTGGCAGCCACAATTGTGTGGCATCAACAGGAAAACCAAAAAAGGCCGCGCAAGACTAGCACCCGGCATGGCGCTGAAGGGATGACGATGTTAAGAAAGGTTGCCCAGCTTGCGACAGCAGCAGACTCGAGACGCGGTATCAATGTTGTCTAAATGCACCTCGAGCGCGCGCTCGTAATAAGCAACGGCCGCTACCTGCCAAGCTCGCAGCAGCACATCCCGGTCGCCACGATCCTCCGGCGTTGGCAAATTATATGGCCCAAAAAACACTCAGGACCTTGTCTCTCCCCATATATAGCCATAATATAGCCTCTAGCATCAGGAAACGAGTGATGCCCACAGCGTGGGTAACGCCACTCGGCACCTGCATACATGGCTTTTGCGAGAGCGCCGCATCCGCTTCGCTGGGGATCACGGCGAACTATGTTCCTGCACCAAATCCTGCTTTCGGGGGCAACACAGCGCTGGCTGGCTGGCTGGCAACGCGGGCAGCAAGACGCAATTGCGTGACGCGTGGAACTGCCAGTCGTGCGGTGCGGCCCGCCACCAAACAAAATCTGCATCCGCATTGCATGGGGGCGCCCAAAGGCCTCGGGCCACCTCCCGCCAGCTGGCTCACTCCGCCCAACTTTTGGTGAGCTGTTAATTCTGACCTCACGAGAACAAAACCCCCGACAACAACAATATTCAAAGCCTTGAAACACAATTACATAATTAGTAATACTAATAGCAATACTAACGGTAGCTTCAAAAGCCGTAGGCTTCGCGTGGTTTCGAGCAGAGCCCATTGGCAACTCCGGCGTAATTTGCAGGTGATTCCAGCAAGATTGAGCGAATGCATGGAAGCCGTCGCTCGCATTTTGCTGTCGGGCGGAATGGGCAGCCGGGTTGGCGCGAGGCGCGCCGTGCCGGCTCTCGCCCTGTTACCGCCGACTTGCAAACGGGCAGCTGCTCATGCGCCGACACATACTTTGCACCCGAATTTGGCAGTTGGCCTTTGTCGTGGGGTTGGTTTGTGTTGGGTGTTTTGGCGGGGGCGGCCATGTCAGCGGCCGTTGCCTGGGCGGTCTGGGCCGGCAAGTCTGCTCGAGCCCATCCACGCCCGTGCCAAATCCGCGAGCTTGCTGCAGCAGAATCTGTCTTCAAGCCTTCCAAGCTGAGGGCGAAACCGAATCGAGAGCGCTGGCGGGTCAGGCTGGAGCGTCACCTTTACAAATTCTCTGCGGGGTCCTGGCGGCGACAGCCACCCACCTCCCCATGCCTCAGCAGGAATCCGCCGCCACACGCGGCCGGTGGTCAAAGCTGCGTGACGGCGGGCTCGATGGCCATCGCCCGCTGCCAGCAAGCTTGTTCTTTGACCCGTATGCTGCGACGAAGGTTGGCGAAGCGGCGCATCCTGGCCCCACGATGGCGTGGTCACAGGCTTTGGCCTCAGTAGTGGGTGGGGAGGCAGGAGGCGCGCGTTGGGCCCGCAAGCGGAACAGGTCGCGGACGAAGCGCGGGGCCCCGGTGCTCCATCGAACGCCGATCTCGGACCTTAGCACCAGCAGTGCTTGCGGGCTTCCGCGCGTGAGCTCG